ATTTATGTGAGGGACACACGGGCGCACAATCTTCATGAATTATGGAACATGTAAACCCAACAAATACGAGGCAACAGCAACTGCAACTGCAACTGCAACAGCAACACCAACAACAACAACAACGCCAGCAACAGCAGCTGCAACAGAATCAACTGGAACAACAGCAGCAACACAGCGACAATCAGCAACAATTTTGCCTGCGATGGCATAATCATCAAGTGAGTGGAGGATTAAATGATCATTTATATTTAAATGAAAAATTACATTCGATATTTGATTGCATTCGTGAATAATTAAAAATGAAAATTGTAAGTTTAGTTATTTCACTTATGAACTGTTTTAACTTTAATATACTTGAGCAGTTTTTAGAGATTGAAGAGATTAAAGCATCTATAGTAAATTGACTACGAAATAAGCTGTGAAACAGCGATCGATTATCATTAAGGTTTGCATGACATTTTGTTTAAATATAATATATATACAGGATTTAGATAGGTCTCATAATAACACATGCATACAAAATGTTATACAAACTATTCCAATTATGTTATATGAAAACTATTTTAATATCACTTTATACACACTATTTCCAAAGTGTTATACACAAACGATTTCTATAGTTTAAGAAACACACCCTTTTATGCGTATATACATATCTATATAACAAAGTGTAATTATTTTCTGTTATATGCTATATAACAATTTATTTCTTTTATTTAGCTAGGGTGCTTATATAGTGTTAGACACAAACTATTTCTATGGTATAATCCACATTCTTATAGTATTATACAAAGTATTTTCAAAGTGTTATACTTTATTACAATTCCATAGTTTCACACTAAACATGAAATACTTTGATAATGTAAACAAAGTATTTTGCAACTATTGTACTCACAAATCCAAAGTGTAATACACAAAAGTCATAGTGCAATTCCTATTTTAAATAACTACAATAAGTGTGTAACAGTTTAAAAGTATAAACTTGTTGAATGAATACTAGAGTACTATATAACACTTAAAGCTTTGTATAGCAAGTTGTGTATAACAAATACAATATATTATATTAAAATAATGTGATAGTAATATTATCGAAATAAATATAACTGATTAAATTGATATTTACAAAAGTGTATAATACTCTGTTAATTCTAGTGCATATAATCCATCTTACTGTTATACACAAATGTTATATTAACTGTTCTATAGTGTTACACACATTATTTTCATATAAATCTACGATGTTATCAATCAAAGAGATCCTTTCCGAGCCATATTCCCCAATGTATTCTGCTTTATGATATATCTATGTTATTTATCAAGAATTCCCAAAAGTGATTTTCACTTTGAATTTTCTATCGTCAATTCAGCTTGCTGAATGAACCATACATTAATAATACGTTCCGTTGACTTCAGGTGCCGTTAATTCCGAGCTACTTAGATCATCCTATGATTTATTGGCTCCAATGACCGCTGGCCCCGCATCTTAAATGAATATAAATGTATGTTTTTAATAGACATGGTCAGCATGAGCCAGTTTGTGCGGCGTATTAGCCAAAGGCTTGGCCTCGCTCGTAAAATTGACTGGACATCGTTCAGAAGAGGCGACCAAAGAAATGTCACCCATCTATATATAGGGTAGATAGATACATTGTATATATATACATATCTGTATATATTCTTATTCACACATAGTTTTCCGCATTTCATATATACTGACAATTTCGCTGTTGGAGGGAGCACAGGCAGTCGACCACAAAGCTGTCCAAAATAGCCAAAAGTCAAAAGAAGAAAAAACAACAACAACAAAAAAAAACAAGAAAAATTGTCAAATAAATGAAATGCTCATTGCAATTGCCAAAATCCAAAGAATTTTTACTAGCAACTAAATCTAATTTCGAACGCGACGCAGTTGCAATTAATGCTCAGCTGCCATTAAGTGTCGCCTGCTGCATCTGCTCCAAATGTTTTCCGGGCCCCTAGCCTAGGGCATCGAATCACAATTTTAGCCAGTCAGCCAGCCAAAGAGCCAGCCAGCCAGCCAGGCAGCTGGCCAAATCTACTCTATACTATTTATAAGATTAGCTGACCCAATTGCCCTCGACTACTGCGAGAACTGCAGATTGGCAGCATTTGCAGCTCATGTCTCGATTCCACTGCCTCTCGATTCCAGACCAGCTTGCTGAGCACTCTGCCGGTGCTGCTGGACCAGTCCCAGCTGACGGACGTCACCATTTCGGCGGAGGGGCGTCTGCTGCGCGCCCATCGCGTGGTGCTCAGCGCCTGCAGCAGCTTCTTCATGGAGATCTTCCGCGCACTGGAGGCCAACAATCATCCGGTCATCATCATACCGGGCGCCAGCTTCGGCGCCATAGTCGCGCTGCTCACGTTCATGTACTCGGGCGAGGTGAATGTCTACGAGGAGCAGATACCCATGCTGCTCAATCTGGCCGAGACACTGGGCATCAAGGGACTAGCCGATGTGCACAATAATAATGTAAATATATATCCATACTCCCTGCTGATCCATGCTCATTTTCCTTGCTCCCTTCAGCTACCCAAGACAGCGAAAAGCACGCCGAATGCCAGCATGGAGCCGGCCGGCGTGGACAAGCCACTGGCGTTCGATGCCACTCCGACGCCATCGCCTGCGGCCACGCCCACGGCCACACCCAGAGCCACGCCCACGCCCGCAAGTACGCCCACGCTGGGCATGTCCAATGCCACGCTGCAGGCGCCACTGCTGGCCAATAAGCTGGGCTCGCCCCTGGAGAATTTCTTTCTGAAGTCGCTGCAGTTCTATCCGAATCTCTTGCCGCAGCCCCTGAACTTCTCGCAGACGGCGCTGAACAAGACCACGGAGCTGCTGGCCAAGTACCAGCAGCAGTGCCAGCTCTATCAGAGCAACCTCGAGGAGGAGGAGTGCTACGGCCAGGCCAARCGCCTGAAGACGGGCAGCGGCGGGGCGCCAGGAGGCGTCAGCAATTCACAGAAAGACATCAAGCGCATAGACAAAATCGTGGAGAATCTGAGGACGAGCAGCAGCAGCAGTAAGTCGCCCATGGAGTGCGGTGCTCCGAGCTCGATTGTGGCCACGTCACCAGTGACACTGGCGCCACAGGCCATGTCCCACTTCTCGCCCCAGCTGCCCGTGGTGAAGACGTCGCCCAGCTACAGCAACTCCCTGAATCCCGCCGGCCATCTGTACAGCGGCGCCAAGCTGCCGAGCTATAGTGCCGCTGCCACGCCCACAACGGCACAGCAAGCCGCCCAGTCGCACCTGGCCAGTCCGCCCTACATAACGCCCGAGGATCACGTCAAGCTCCAGCAGCACATCGAGCAGTACGCGGCCTGCCAGCGCGAGGCGGCGGCTGCTGCTGCGGCTGGCCAATTGATCAGCACCAAGTCGGAGCCGAATCTGCTGTCGCTGAGCGCCGAGAAAATGGTGACGCCCAGCAAGCCGCCATCCAACTCCAAGCTCTATGCCACCTGCTTCATCTGCCACAAGCAGCTGAGCAATCAATACAATCTGCGAGTGCATCTGGAGACCCATCAGAATGTGCGGTAAGAGCAGAGCAGCAGAGATTTCAAATCTCCAAAAACTGACTCCGAGTCCCTTTCAGCTATGCCTGCAATGTCTGCTCCCATGTGTCGCGCAGCAAGGATGCCTTGCGCAAGCACGTCAGCTATCGACATCCGGGCGCGCCGTCGCCCTGCGAGAACGAGGCGCGGCGCAAGCGCGTCACCAAGCTGGCAGCTCAATCGATCTCCGCCAGCGCACCGACGGCGACAGCTACCAGCGGCGACATGGCTGCGGGCGAGGTGCCCAACACAGGCTCTGGTTCCGGCTCTGCGCCTGGCTCCGGCTCTGGTCCAGGCTCGCTCTCCGGCAATCCGTATCTCTTTCTACCCAATCAGTTTCAGCTGGCCGCTGCAGCAGCTGCTGTAGCCGTGGCCGAGTCGAATACGGATGTGGCGCACGAGGGGCCCGTGTCCTTGAAGAGTGTAACTCCCGTCGCGCGCAATGGGGAGGCAGGCAGCGAGACGGACACGACAACCATCTGAAGCAGCGCACTATATGCTTCCCCGCACACACACGCATGCACACACACGCACATACACACGCTCACAAACACGCTCTCACTTGAAATTAACCCCACCGTCTTAGACCCGGCTGTGATACTTAGCACAATTCGTCGATTTAATTTGAATTTATTCTCTCGTTAATTTTAGCGCCATTTGTTAGAGTTTCGCTTGCACTTATCGATAGGCGAGTACGCTTCGATAGGTCTGCAAGTGGTGGCATCACTGTCACAGTTTGAGGGTGACACGCGCTAACAGTTTGGGTAGCACTGAGTGCAGGCATTCCAAACTGTTTGCGCGAGATCAGAAACTGTAATATCGCGAGGCTTTCTTTTACCTTCTACAAAGACCAAACACACACACACACTGACACACATACACACGCCTACACATTCTAATAAATTAAGAGCACTTTTTATAAATATTATAATTATATATACCAAGAAAACACGCACACACACATGCACACAAAAAGACAAGGTGAAGACCTACAAAAAACCAAAAAGCAAAATAAATTTTAAGCCACAAAAAATACACAATATGTTGATGTACTGTTATTTTCATGCAAAAACTAGTTTATTTCATTTCATAATACAATAATTTACGTACGCTGGCGCACTTTATACATATGTTTAAACTGTATTTCAGTTGTATAAGTATCAAAAAATTTGTTTAAAACACATACAAGCATAATGAAGTGGGTTTGGGTTCAAATATTCAAGTACTGTGAACAGAGAAGCTTTATCAATGATATGATTAGCTGGCAAACTTTTGAGCTTAAAATTAGAGGACTAAATGAGTGCATTATATAAATATCTAAATGTAAAAAACACATGCACTTAAATGAAATGAAGCTGATATCGAAGACGATGCCAAAATAGGAACTCGGCGGCAATTACAGGGGATTTTAAATGGATCTCTTGCTCTCCTCCGTTCCCTCTTCCTGGTTAAGTATAAAAATACGCGCTGGCTGCGCTTTTTCTTATTTTTTGTTTTTTCTTTTCGTTGTTCTGTTCTCTTTTGGCATGGTTTAAATAGTTTCGACGTGCCACACTTTGGTGTTGCAATCCTGACCAGTGGAGATCACAGTATTGTTGTCCAGCCACACAAGGCGCGTAATTTGCGATTGGGGATGCGCATCTAAGCGAGGAATAAAATATATTTTATTTTATATAATGCAAAAGAGTTAATATTGGCTTACTCTTGATAATGGTGTGCTTGGCCGGATTGGTCACAGACCAAATAATAATAGTAGTGTCAAGCGAACCGCTGGCTACCAGCAGAGAATTGGGTGACCAGGCCACAGTGTTGACACGCGCATTATGGAAGCCCCATTCCTTGTTGTGAGCCGGCTGCAATAGCAAAAGCGAAGAAGTTAGAGTACAGTTCTATATAGTAATAGCCATCTCTCACCTTATATTCCTCCACTGAGTACAGCACAACCTTGCGATGAGCATCACAGGCAACCAAATACTTTTGATCCGGCGAGTATGCGACATCGGTGACGGCGCCCAGATGCTCTAGTTCAGTCTTCAGCTCCAATGAGCCGTCTTTTAGTGCATAGATATGCAGTTTTTGGTCATCACCGCCGACAGCCACATCCAGAGTTTCAGAGTTTGTGGCTATGGAGCTGGCCTCGTATTTGATGGGCAGCGAGAAGATCTTCTTCTGGCCCTGCACCAGGGTGATGTCCTTAATGCACGCCACAGCGATAATGTTTTCACTACGCAAGATGGCCAAGCCGCGAGGCTGGCAGTTCAACTTGACCACGTAGTCCGTGTAGTTGTTCCCCTCGACGCTGAACTGGCGTAAGCTGTCGTCAATGCCACACGTATAGACGAACTCATCCCAGGCGGCGATGCCGTTTATCTGATTGCCATGACCAGTGCCGGTAACGCGATCGTTAGTGCCGTTACCGGAGTTCCAGTTGGTCACAATGCCGTCATGGCTGCCCGTATAGATAGTGCTGCGATCATCACTCAAGGCCAACACCGTAATTGGCTTATTGTGACCCTTGACCACTCGCAACGGTTTGCTGGGATCGTCCACATTCAAATAGGTAATGATGCCAGAAAGCGAGACGGTTATCAGGTGCTCCCCCTGCCACAGGCACGACACCTGCTGATCATCCACGGTATTGCCCATGACAAACTCGCTGATCAGTTCGCGCGACTCAACCTGCCAGAGACGGCAGGTCTTGTCGCCCGAGCAGGTGAGCAGCTGAGTGCTGTCCGGCTTCCATGCGACCGCATATACGCCACCCTTGTGCGCTGGCGAGCCGAATTCGCCCACGAGATCCGAGCTGGTTGCATCGTACAGAAACACTTTGCCGTCAAAGCCCGCCGAGGCAAAGAACTTGCCATCCGGTGAGTAGCGCACGGCCTGCACAAAGCGCGAATGGTCCTGCTTAGTCATCTTAAACTTGAATGGAGGGCCTTCAAAAACGCCAATCGTGTTATCCTCGCTGCCTGTAATTCCACGGATTAGTCAAGCCGAATATATAATATATAAAATGGCATACCAGTTACAATCCGGAACGGTCTGGTCGGCTTAAAGTCCACCGAGTTGATGGGCTTGGACTGTCCACTGATTTCACCCACGGATGTGCCGGTCTCGGACATGAAGACATGGCCGAACCTCTCACGTCCCTCACCTACAGCGACCATGCGCTGATTGTCCGCAGACCAGCTAATGTCCTTGATGGGTCCTGCGATCGGCTGGAATTCATTCTTCAGCAAATGCTCCTTGTTGACTGTATCCCAAATGCGAATCTTGCCCGAGGCATCTGCGAGGCGATAAGAGAATATCGTGAGTGGACGTCATATTATGCATACATTGATATATTATGTGTAGTATAAAAAAAGCACATTTCTAATCAGTTTTCCAGTAATTCCTGTTAGGTACGTATGTAAAGATAAACGATTGTATGCAAAGCAAGATAACATCGATGGAAAAGCTAGATAACATTTACTTTAATATTCGGCTTTAGCTATATGAATGTATATACATATATTGTATTATAATCGAAAAAAAAAGTGTTCTGCTATGGCTTCTGTGCAATTTCTTTCATTATGTTTCAGTTCTCTTTGCAGGCGATAAGATATACTCCATGTATGTAGTATGGTAATGTTGGATTGACAGCTGACGTGAGTCAGGGCCATATTTGTTGATGGTGATTTTTAAGGCTTCTTGCCAGTTGAGACTTACCGCCGGATGCAATGTAGAAGCCGCTGGGCGAATACTTGGCCACATTGACTGCACACGAGTGTTCCGTGTAGACATCGGCAATCGCTGGGTTCTGGACAGGCGATGATGGTAATCGGAGCGTGACACGAGGCAAATCAAGAAAAGGCGCACAAATAAGAAAATTCAACAAATTAATAAATTCATATTTACAAACAAATTAGTTTGCGATGATGAGAATGGGGGAGAGGAGGAGAAGGAGCAGCAGCAGCCACAGCGGCAGCAAAGCAACATSATAATTATGTTGCGTGGGCAGTGGAACAAGAGACAGATAAAGAAAGAGAGAAAGGGGGAGCGAAATAGACAGTGTGAGAGCGAAACTTCTGTGTTTGTTTTTGTGAATATAAGCCGTGCCGGCTATATAGCAATATATACACATACATACATACATATAGATATATGGTAAATAAATATAGAACAGCCAACACACGCACACTCGTACTCGCACACACACACACACACATGCAAATAGAATGATCGCTGTCAAGTGGAAAATAACGCTTGAAAATTGCAGCTGCCGTGCGCTGTCCAAAAATAAAACAATATTTTCTTTTCGGAGCAGGCGTCTCATATTTTTGGTGCCCGTCATTCCTACCCAATTCGAGATAATATCAAATGTTATTTTCTTACCTCAATATTTCTGATTATCACCGAATTGCCATTGGTGTACAAAAAGTTCTTGCCCTTGGGATCGGAACCCAAAACAATGGGTTGGCCACGTTGGGTGCGCGGCAGCGACGCATAGATATTTTCTGCAAAAAAAAAAATTATCAAAATTCAAATCGAGTTTGAAAATCAATGTAGAAAATGTGAACTGCCTGAAGATAGAAAGAGAACAGGGTGCGGTCGGCCGGCGGTCGTTTAGCCGGTTTACTGAGGTATGCTTTCACCGGGTCAAGGGCTACTCCCCACTTCCCGCACTTTGTTTATCTAAACACCGCGCTGCGACGACGAATGCGTGAATGCCATTTATGGTCATATCAGAGTGTTTCCGCTGTTTTTACCGTTGCCGGCTGACTCATTTTCAGCGTCGCTGCTGTCAGCTTTCTGAATACTTTTATGGACATTTTTTAAACTAATATAACTCACTGTTTTCGTAGTCGGGTTTTTGTGGTTGCGCCATTTCACTTCTCTTAGTGGTTTAATAGTTCTTATTGGCTCTGTATATATAGCAAATTGTGTTATTTGCACAAAAACACCCGCACTTGCACTGTATGAGACCAGGGATGTCGAACACTGTTGAATACATTCGTTGTTGTTTAGTTTAACAGCGGAAAGTGATTAACATTAGTCTGTAATGTTATTAATAGAATCAAATTGATATATGTACATTTTTTAATCCTTATTATTGTTATGGGCTAGGTGAAAGTTAACTGTTTACGTATTTTATGGGAAATTTGCAGAGATAACTTGCTTTCGAGCTGTTGGCCATCCATTAATAGTCACTAAAATATTATAACATGTCTGTAACGAGTACAGACAGGCCGATTGAAACTATGAAAAAGGGACTGCTAATTTAACAGTCAAATGCTTAGAAATTTATGACGCGGGCTGATCATTGTATGAAAATGAAWCTGCTTTGATTCGGTTATCTGTTACAAAAAATTTAAAAGCAAAGTATTTTTTATTAAATCATATAATTTATTATTATTATTTTATGAAAGTGATTTGTGACGATGATGTCGAAAGCTCTAAAGATCTACTAAGATTCATAAGAGTTGTAACAATATCTTTAATTTTAAAGGCAGAACTTAAGCGCGAAATTTCGAATAGTTAATAGAATAAATAAAGCACAATCCATTTGTACGCATACTGTACGTATTCTATTCTCCACCCCTCAATATTTATGTAAATTATATCAATACGCATACTAATATTAATTTYCGTAATTAATATATAGCTCAAAATTGCTCTATTCTAAAATAATGTTAAAAATTGTAGTTATGTAAAGTGTGCGGTAGAAACAAAGCACTAACACTAACCAGAGAACAGTGGCCAAACTATGTAAGTGCCTATCGAAATGGTCGATAGATTTTTGAAAGTCAGCTGTTCTGTTTCGATAAGTAATATTGTTTACATGTGTTCAATTAAGCTTTTTGCGGGTTTAATATATTTTTATTTTTGTTTTGTTTTTTAAATTGTTTACAACTAAAAAGGTAAAATATATTATTTTTGAATGAATGAATGAATTTAATAAAAATGCTACTTTCAATGCTTCGTGTGTAATACACGATGGACAAAAAGGAGCATTCTCGTATTTATGGTTATTTGAAGCGTGTGACCACTCATATCCATTGACTGTTTACACTTATGAGCTAAAAATTGAGCTATTAAATTTATGGACTATTAGGTGAAGTGGAAACCTTCTCCGCTCAATTAATTTGAGGAACGATGACACGAAAACCGCGGAAAATTTTGCATAATTCTGCGAGGCAGGTTAGTAAAAAGTGAATATATAAAAATTGGATATTAATTATATTTGTTGATTATCTAGAAACCGAATGCAAAAAAAGTAACCGAATATCAGCCAGTCATGAGCACATCGGGGCAATTGAAAGAGGATGCGCGCCGGAGTCAAGTTAAAGCTCTAGTGGACGCAAGTGTCCAGCGGGGAGAGTTGGCCAGCCATAGCTATTATTTCATTATGGTTAACTGCCTTTCTGGTAACCACATGCCCTTGGACCTGGCAGCTGCACAGTTTTCTTTAATTAATGGCCTGCAAAACATCCACTATACTCCGGTCGACCAGGGTAAACAGAAGATTGCTTTGATTATGTGTCCTTGTGACTAATCAGTCGTGCTTTGATTTCAGCGCTGGACAATGATTACTTAAAAGGCATTCATGCAGAGTTGCTTGAGTTTCTTCGATTAAAATGTGATCCGGAGGATGAACTGCCACCTGTATTCACATTGCAAAGAAAAGCAGGAATTGCCAGCAAAGCCCTTAAGCTGCTCAATGGTGGAGAGGCTAGCCAGATTAATGTCTTGCCTATACAATTTCTTTGCCATGCATTGAAGCAAGCTACATGCAAGGCTGCCAAGTTGCCGCCTCCAGATTCTATTCATAATACCCATTTGCAGTTTAATCAATGGGATCATGGTTGGGATCGCCACAATCAAATAAATCTGTCAAAACAATTCTGTATATCCTACATCAAGCGTTGGTGCTTCACATTTGCGAATTACATGTGCTCCGACTTAGGCATCAAGATGATACCTAATCGCCACATGCCCAGCGACCGCAATGATTCGGATGTTGAAGGATCTCCTGATCGTGCTAGCCCATTGGATGCGACAAAAATAAATCAAGAGGCAACCGTAAGCTATGAAGAACATATAAATCAAAATGCCTTGGATACTCTGAATAGCCTCGACTTGGACAGCATTTTCGAAAATGACGATAATTGGGAATCAACAGAAGAACAGAATAGCTCCAGCATTCAAGTGAATGATCACAGTGAAAAGGAAGATATAATATTAGTTGAGGATGAAAATTTGGAAATAGTTCCGCCACCGCCACCGATTTTGGATCAAGCACTTATAGATGATTGTGCAATATTTAAACGTAGACCCAAAAAGCTTCAGATTGACTCTGATAACAACGAAATCAAACATCAAGCCGAGGGTAATAAAAGCGAAAAAACTGTATGTCGAACTCAGAAAAATACGAAACGGGATTATCAATGTTTGAATACAAACAGAATTAGCGGACTTCAAGAGCCTGTTGCATCTGAAATAGTCAGAGATGGATTGAATCGCAATAAATGTCGGTCACCTATAAGACAAATTCATCAAAGACCAATCAACTGTCTTGGACGTTGGCGCTCTAGATCACGCTCCCGTTCGCGATCCGTTAGTCGCAATAGCCAGGACCATGGAAGATATTCATCATCTAGAAAAAGTAGACGTAGCAGATCTCGATCTGAAGAGGGAAATATTTCACCAAGTCGCAGATTACTCATAGATCGAAATGTTGGACGTGACCGAAAAATCTCACCTATCAGATGGCAAAAATATCATGGCAGTCCTTCACATAGTCCACGAAGACTAAATTGTAATATGAGCGGAGGTTACCGTAAAAGCGACAGAAAGAGCCGAGAGCAAAGGGAGTACTCGATTAGTCCCCCGTTAGGAGCAACAAACAAGTACTGTACAACCGAAAGACATAATTCTAGATGTGAAGATGTCAGCAATGATCAAAACGCTCTACAACTTGCTCCTCAATGCAGCCGACCAGCATTTCCGGTTTCCCAATATTATCCACAGCATACAATAAATATACAAAACTTTCATATAAATTCAGTTCTGAGTACTGAAAGGCCTGTAAGCCCGCAAGCTTCTAAAATACGAATACCTGTTTTAACGGCGGTTCCGTCTCAAATACCATCTCACATCACTTATAACAATTTTGGATCACATTTAAGCTACAATCATGAAGCGTACTACGAGGTACAGCAGTCTATGGAGTACCAGCATTCACTGCTGTCTTATTGTGAATTACGTTCTGTAATGAAAACAGCTGAGATGAAAGATCTACCAGAGAACGACTTACGACATCGCCTGAAAATGCGCAATGAGTCCTGGAGTCAGACGGATTATTATTCAGGTCAACAGAATCTTGCTCAAGCATACCAGATGTCAGCTTATCCAATGTCATGGAATAACGGATATGGGAGCAATTTACCCAATAATTTCTAATAAGTTTTTCAATCCAATCTATAGATATAGATTTATAGATCATATACAATTATTACTAGAGGTCCTTCGATTGTATATATTTTATTTCTTATATGTAATGAAAGAATCTTTAAATCAGATATCAAATCTTGAAACAACTGTTTTAATGGATTTAGCCGACATTTCGTAAACAACATCAAAGCTTAACTGAAGATGAATGTATTTTAAGTAAAGGCTCCTTTTACCAAGCCCGTATATAGTCATTTGTAATATAATCTTATTATTTTTCTTTCTTTCATAGATGTTATGAATGCCTTTTTAGGAAAGATTATGATCTTACAAAGAGATAAAAGAGCTAATGAGCCTGCTCAGATTATGACCAAGAATGCTAATCGATAAGTTTTCCAAGAACCACTACCCACACCATAGTATATAGTATATATTTGTAAGAGACCAATTTCGAGCCTCACAAATTCAGTTAAATATTTACTAGACTTAGGGGTTGACTTGTACAACTAGCCGGACTCCAAAGAATCCAGGTTTACACAAAACTAAACAGCATGCCTTCATGGAGTCAGAGACCTGAGGCAAATATGTTCAAATTACTAAATAATGTCACTTTATTTTCTTTTATATTTCAGTCAAAACATTTATTAAATATACATATATTTTTTGTGTTTTACAGTATTCTAAGATGTTTTATAAAATAAATAAATGACTCCAAACAAAATTGCATTTTTAATGTCTAAAATTAATGATAAATATATAAAATAAAAAATTATTTCATAGCAAATACTTAAGGTCAGAGATTAGTTATGACTGTAGACTCTCCAAAAGCGGGGTTAAGGCKGCCAATTCCTGGATCAATTCGGGGTCCCTAACGACATTATTTTCAATATTCTTTAGCAGTTGCTCTAATTCATCGATGGTTACATCATTTACGTCAGATTCCACAGAATCAACGATGTTATCAACTGGTATGCCAGTTGCCATAAGGCAATATAATAATATAATATGAGCATATAAAATATAGAATGGTTTAACAGTATGTATCTGATTTACGGGGTACCTGTCTCTTCAATTTCCACCTCGATGATGTCGGGGGACGGCGCGGCATCGACAGTTACCTCGTCGTTGATTTCGGACTCCACCCAATCTACGTTGTTGTCAACTGGCATAAAGAAACATATAATAATATATTTTATTTTGTCTAAGATTATGTATGTTTACGGGGTACCTTTCTCTACACTTTCCACGTCGATGAAGTCGGGAGACGACACGGAAGTAGTGTTTCTCATGGCGCAACGCAAGGCATGTCTATTGCGTCGGTTCAGAAAATTGAAGACCCTGGAGCAGCTGTGGCACGTGTAGATCTGCACTTCGCACCGGTGTCTCTGGAATTGGCATTCCGTTATAAATTTGCGATTGCAGGCACTGCAATCGTATTTCTTCTCCATGTGATGACTCTGATAATGGCGACGCAGAAGGTCTAGCCGTGCACCGCTGTACTCGCAGTCTTCGACGGGACAGTGAAAGCATTTGATTGGATTTGCCTGGATTGCGACCCCGTGCTTCTTCTGCAGGTGCACTTCGTAGGGATTTCGGTTCTTGAACACCTTGCCGCAATCGAATTCGCAACGGTATTCGCGTATTGGTAATAGCTCAGAGATATCTGGAATACAAACAAAGTGTTTTTTGTCGTTCTTCTGCATTTTGGACAATTTTCAGTTCCAAATGTCAAGCGAAGGTATCGCACACACCATTCATATGTGTGYACTTGCATATGTGTATGTCCCGATGTATGAATRTATGTACATATGTATGTATGTATCACTTTGAAGTGTTGCCACAATAAATTCTAACGGACTCCATTTCTAATTGCAACAGCCAAACTGTTAACAAGTTTTAAACAATATTATTACATACATACATATATATGTGCATGCACGCACAGCTCATTCAGCTCATATATTAATGGCAAATATGCATATATTTGCTGCCMCAAGCATCAGCACTTAGCTATGCTTGAATTTGTTTGCCACTCTTATTCAAATTTGTCGTATTCTAAAACAGTGCTGTACAACGACGAAAAGCAAGCAGCTTTCAGTGGAACTAATGGAAGAGGGACACATACATGCATATATAAATACATACATGCATCTCCATGGACAGATGTATGCCTGTAGATATGTATGTATGTATATGGCTGATGGCAAATCGGGAGGAATATACAACTTCATATGTAAGAATATATATAAACAAATTAATATACTGTCTACTTGTGGAACTACATTCACAAACATACATATGTACATATGTAGAAGTAGATAGTTTGCATAGGCTCGTTTAAAAATGAGTATTCAAATATATATGTATGTATGTACATTCATACACATATGTACATACATATGTATGAATTTGAATTGACTGCTCAGTGCTGTAAAACACACAGAAACAGTTGTGTACGGTATGTTATTTAAATACATACATACATATGAATGTGCGTACATGTAAATATGTACATATAATTGGTATGGATGCAATGGAATTAATATGTACATACATACATAGTATGTACAGTCCAATCCAATCTACATATCTATACATATGTACATACATGCATATATATGTATGTGTGACTGGTGGAACTCATAAAGGAGGCTAACATTTCGAATAGTTATTGATTTAGTTTAATATACATACATACATACATACATGTGTATGTATGTTTTTGTTATTTTTATTTTATGCAAATGTACAGATGTATAAAAATTTTCATAAATCTATATATGTACATATGTATGTATGTACATATTTAATTTAAGTTTGTTAAAATAAGTACATATGTCCAGTATGTCCATTAATTAATTGCAAAACAAAAAACGTTGTACAAATTCTACTTTAATATCATATTTTATTAGGAAAGGCCTCTTTCTCACATATTTTTTTTTTACATTATTTTTGCTTCGTGTNGTAAGAATATATATAAACAAATTAATATACTGTCTACTTGTGGAACTACATTCACAAACATACATATGTACATATGTAGAAGTAGATAGTTTGCATAGGCTCGTTTAAAAATGAGTATTCAAATATATATGTATGTATGTACATTCATACACATATGTACATACATATGTATGAATTTGAATTGACTGCTCAGTGCTGTAAAACACACAGAAACAGTTGTGTACGGTATGTTATTTAAATACATACATACATATGAATGTGCGTACATGTAAATATGTACATATAATTGGTATGGATGCAATGGAATTAATATGTACATACATACATAGTATGTACAGTCCAATCCAATCTACATATCTATACATATGTACATACATGCATATATATGTATGTGTGACTGGTGGAACTCATAAAGGAGGCTAACATTTCGAATAGTTATTGATTTAGTTTAATATACATACATACATACATACATGTGTATGTATGTTTTTGTTATTTTTATTTTATGCAAATGTACAGATGTATAAAAATTTTCATAAATCTATATATGTACATATGTATGTATGTACATATTTAATTTAAGTTTGTTAAAATAAGTACATATGTATGTCCAGTATGTCCATTAATTAATTGCAAAACAAAAAACGTTGTACAAATTCTACTTTAATATCATATTTTATTAGGAAAGGCCTCTTTCTCACATATTTTTTTTTTACATTATTTTTGCTTCGTGTATTCTTAACGAAAATAAATAACAAAAACAATAACAATAGGTACAAAAACATACAAAATTATTCAAAACGAAAAATATCAGCAAAATGAATGTGCATACATACATACATACATACATATGTATGTACCTATGCATATGAATGTATGCGCATACATACATATGTGTGTACATAACATGCACGCATACATTTTTATATGTATGTAAATGTACATACATATATAAAGTGCTTTTCCAAAATTGAGTGATCATTGCTGGAAAACAAAGACATCATACATATGTATGTATGTATGTATGTACATATATACATATGCTCGTATGTATGTATAAAGTAAATTTCAAAATGCAGTAATCGTACATTTCTTTTCACGCAACCATCTAAATCCTACGCACACGCATACTCAGTTACATAKTATGTATGTATGTAGGAGTGTGTCCTTGAAAATCCATACATAACTACATTTGTAGATGTAATGGACACATGCATGTCATACATACATATGTATGTATGCATTTGTACGCATACTTGCCTGTGCATTTCTTTATGCTCAGACCCTTCACGCGCACACGCACACACACTCCTGCACGCATGTTAAAATGTGTGCGCACTGCGCAGTTTGGTTTGTAGAGTCYACTAATATGTGTGCATATGCAAACATGCGCGTTATACTGTTCGCATACATACATACATACACACGTAACGGAAAACAAATTTGAAAATAGTTTGGTCTGGCAACAATAGGCCAAAACATGCACGTGTGTGTTGCACACACAGTCATTTACCTTCAACTTTCTGCTTTCTCGTTCACTCCCACAGAGCAACCATTAAACTTGCTCGCAGAAAAGTTTATATTTAACTAATTAATTTGTTAAATGAAATGAAATGAAATAAAATTAAGTTGATATTAATATTGAATATTGTTTTAACTTTTTTAATTAACAAACTTCAAATTCAAAGGATTACAAAAAAATACCTCAGTCCAGAGTTCCTTATTCGGTTTCAAGAACGCGTAAGTCTAATATATGTATATTTAAGAAGGCGGCATTTTAAACGAGTCCTCGAAGTCTTTAACCCTATATTTGGAGGCTGGAACATTCCAAGCGCGTCTTGGATCACCTGGAGCTAAATCTTTGCCCATGGGATTGCGATTCGGTTTGGGTTTCCGGCCACCAAGGCTAGGAAAATCTTTAGCTGCATTCAAATCGGCAGAGAAGGCCGAGTGATCGAAGATCTCGTGTTTCACAATGGACTGACCCGAGGTAAATGTATCGTTGGAGACTTTCCCGGTTGACTTGTTAGTTGTCTTTGAGAAGTTGCTGGATATCCTGGACGAGTTGACGCTCTCATTACCCGGATTAGACACACGGAATTTCGGCTCCTGCTTGGGAGGCATGTGTTTGCCAGGCAAAGGTGTGATCGCTAGGTCCCCGCACATGAAGTCGCTAAAGACATAACACCAGCGGCTGATTATAGATTGGGTACAGTACTGGCAGCGATCGATATCCTCATGATACTAAAAACAAATGCAATAGTGAAACAATTGCCTTTGGGAGGATTCATATTTCTATCCCACCTGACACGAAATTCCCAAGTGGTAGCAGAAGTAGTCGTTTATAAAGAGACTGTCAGTGGCGGTCCTATTTACAGTAACGTTCCGAATATCCACACTGTCCAAGACCTCCAGCTTGAGCACGTACAGCAGGTATTGTATGTCGTAAATGTGGATCGTAGCCAGCGGCTCCTCGCTGTCGCTCTCCAGGTAGCGGAAGCAGCCCTTCACTATTGGCATAAATTCGGGGGTCGCGAAGACCACGAGAGGATCATTGGGCTTGGCATCCGGATTGCAGGCGCGCAAGTACTCCACGATGTTCGCATAGAGTCTGCCTATGTCCGATTCACCCATAGCATTCGGCGGCAATGGCAACTGATGCGTATGCTTTGTGTGGTGCATTGTCTCGCTGCCCTGGCCAAAAATCAGCTGACCTAAGAGATTGAGAGACGAGAGAGCATCAGAATTGTTCGCATAGAGATCTGCTGCAACTCACCCGGATCGATGTGCGAACTGTACATCGAGCAAATGCCAGACTTCAACGAGAACTGACAAGCCGAAAACTCGGCCGGAATATAAATATCATTTGTCATTGACTTCGTAAAGTAATTAAATGCAGCAAAAATAAATTTCGTGTTCTCCAGATCTGCAGAGGAGCAAGCAAACAGAATGAGCATCAGACAACGAAGGAAATCTATGAGCCTATGGCCTCACCATGACGCTTCTTGCCAGCCAGCACTATGCGCTCCGTAGTGCGCTTCATGTTCAACTCACGCTCAGCCGCCTCCATTTCCTCGCGTTCCAGCGCAGATAGCGACTGGCCATGGCAGTTGAGGCGCTCCACCTGGCAGCGCGCTGACACTTCAGCGTTTTTGGCCATCTTGTTGTACGGTCCGCGTTGTTGCGTATTCATATTCTATTCAGCATTTATATTATGACTCCTGATATATGTACATAATTATTCTGGTACTCACTTTCCATGTTTCGCCACATTTGCTTATCGCTTGGGGAAGGCTCACTGCGCGACCCTCCGCGGTCTTTTCCCTCCATTCATTGACGAACATCATAAATCCATTGAATTTCTTCGGTGCCATTTTATTCGGAGCTATTCGAATTGCCAAAAGAAAATAAACAAGAAAAATAATATTTTACTGGCGATTTTCGTGGTTCTCTGTATACAAATGCCTGTGTGTATGTATATATGTTTGTGTGTATGTGTATATGTATGTATGTACGTAACATGCATGCATGGCATCTCTTTACAGTTATTCCTATTCTTAATGTGTGTGTGTGTGCACAGGAATATGTGCATATATTTATACATACATATTCATACGCACATACATACATACATTTTCATATATGTATGTACATATTTTTTCTTGATTATTTCTTGCGAACATATTCAAAATGTTCATAAATAATTTTTTTTTTTTTTTTTCATAATTAGTTGCGTTGTGTACTGGCAAACTTTCACAAATACCTTTTTTATAAACTAGATTTACACTAAACTTTAATTTTAATTATTTCTTATTTATTTTCACTTGAATCAACGAGCAAATATATACGCTTTTACAGAACGCGCAGTGTCTTAGAGTTAGCTCCGACAATAATAATACTATGCTTGGACTGAGCTAACGGATCGAGAATACGAGCACAATCGATAGATTTTGAATTATA